AAAAAAAGTCTTAGTTGTTTTGTAATTTAGGAAGATAAAGTTTACATACCACACAATTCACCCATTTAAAGTATACAGTGGTGGTTTTGTTAATAAGTATATATAGAGAGTTCTGCTACCACCATCACAGTCAAGTTTAGAACAAGAAACCCCATACACCTTAGCAATTAGCTCTCATTTCTTCCCAACCAGCACCCCCCCCCAGATTTAGATAACCACTATTCTACTTTGTATCTCTTACTGATTTGAATTTTCCAGACATTTCATTCTTATGAATGAAACAATTTTTTGTGACTGCCTTCACTTAATGTTTTCAAGGTTTATTCACATGGGAGTATATATCAGTACTTCATTCCATTTTATGATTAAATATTACTCCATTTTATGGATACGTCACATAATTTTTCCCTTCAATAGTTGATGGACATTTGGGTTATTTCCACTTTGGTGCAACTGTGAATAATGCTGCTATGTATGTTGATATAGAAGTTTTTTGTTTGGACATAAGACGTTCTCATCCCGCTTGAGTAGGTCAGTTCAGTTCAGTCACTCAGTCATGGCCGACTCTTTGTGACAGTATGGTCTGCAGCACAACAGGCCTCCCTGTCCGTCGCCAACTCCTAGAGTTTACTCAAACTCATGTCCATTGAGTCGGTGATGCCATCCAGCCATCTCATCCTCTGTCAACCCCTTCTCCTCGTGCCTTCAATCTTTCCCAGTATCAGGGTCTTTTCAAATGAGTCAGCTCTTCACATCAGGTGGCCAAACAACTGGAGTTCCAGCTTCAGCATCAGTCCTTCCAATGAATATTCAGGACTGATTTCCTTTAGGATGGACTGGTTGGATCTCCTTGCAGTCCAAGGGACCCTCAAGAGTGTTCTCCAACACCACAATTCAAAAGCATAAATTCTTTGGTGCTCAGCTTTCTTTATAATCCAACTGCTCACATCCATACATGACTACTGGAAAGACCATAGCTTTGACTAGATGGATCTTTGTTGGCAAAGTAACGTCTCTACTTTTTAATATTCTGTCTAGGTTGGTCATCACTTTGCTTCCAAGGAGCAAGCATCTTTTAATTTCGTGGTTGCAGTCACCATCTGCAGTGGTTTTGGAGCCCCAAAAATTAAAGTCAGCCACTGTTTCCCCATTGATATACCATGAAGTGATGGGACCAGATGCCATGATCGTAGTTGTCTGAATGTTGAGTTTTAAGCCAACTTTTTCACTCTCCTCTTTAACTTTCTTCAAGGGACTCTTTAGTTCTTCTTTGCTTTCTGCCATAATGGTGGTGTCATCTGCATATCTGAGGTTATTGATATTTCTGCCTGCAATCTTGATTCCAGCTTGTGCTTCTTCCAGCCCAGTATTTCTCATGATGTACTCTGCATATAGGTTAAATAAACAGGGTGACAATAAACAGCCTTGACGTACTCCATTTCCTATTTGGAACCAGTCTGTTGTTCCATGTCCAGTTCAAACTGGTGCTTCCTGACCTGCATACAGGTTTCTCAAGAGGCAGGTCAGGTGGTCTGGTATTCCCATCTCTTTCAGAATTTTCCACAGTTTATTGTAATCCACACAGTTGAAGGCTTTGGCATAGTCAATAAAGCAGAAATAGATGTTTTTCTGGAACTTTCTTGCTTTTTCGATGATCCAGAGGATATTGGCAATTTGATCTCTGGTTCCTCTGCCTTTTCTAAAACCAGCTTGAACATCTGGAAGTTTACGGTTCACGTATTGCTGAAGCCTGGCTTGGAGAATTTTGAGCATTACTAGCATGTGAGATGAGTGCAATTGTGCAGTAGTTTGAGCATTCTTTGGGATTGCCTTTCTTAGGGATTGGAATGAAAACTGACCTTTTCCAGTCCTGCGGCCACTGCTGAGTTTTCCAAATTTGCTGGCATATTGAGTGCAGCACTTTCACAGCATCATCTTTCAGGATTTGAAATAGCTCAACTGGAATTCCATCACATCCACTAGTTTTGTGTAGTGATGCTTTCTAAGGCCCACTTGACTTCACATTCCAGGATGTCTGGCTCTAGGTGAGTGGTCACACCATTTTGATTATCTGGGTCATGAAGACCTTTTTTGTACAGTTCTTCTGTGTATTCTTGCCACCTCTTCTCAGTATCTTCTCCTTCTGTTAGGTCCATACCATTTCTGTCCTTTATCGAACCCATCTTTGCCGGAAATGTTCCCCTGGTATCTCTGATTTTCTTGAAGAGATCTCTAGTCTCCCATTCTGTTGTTTTCCTCTACTTCTTTGCATTGGTAGCTGAGGAAGGCTTTCTTATCTCTCCTGGCTATTCTTTGGAACTCTGCATTCAAATGGGAATATCTTTCCTTTTCTCCTTTGCTTTTCGCTTCTTTTCTTTTCACAGGTATTTGTAAGGCTTCTTCAGACAACCATTTTGCCTTTTTGCATTTCTTTTCCATGGGGATGGTCTTGATCCCTGTCTCCTGTACAGTGTCACGAACCTCCGTCCATAGTTCATCAGGCTCTCTGTCTATCAGATCCAGTCCCTTAAATCTATTTCTCACTTCCACTGTATATAGTCATAAGGGATTTGATTTAGGTCATACCTGAATGGTCTAGTGGTTTTCCTTACTTTCTCCAGTTTAAGTCTGAATTTGGCAATAAGGAGTTCATGATCTGAGCCACAGTCAACTCCCGGTCTTGTTTATGTTGACTACTCGCCATATAAACCAAAATAATGCCATTTGCAACAACATGGATGCAACCAGAGATTATCATACAAAGTGAACTAAGAAAGAGAAAGACATACCATGTGATGTCATTTATATGTAGAATGTAGAGTATGACACAGATGAACCTATCTATAAAACAGGAACAGACTCAAGGACATGAGGTTGCCAAGAAGGAGGAGGGGAGAAGGATGGACTTGGAATTTGTGGTTGGTCAATATACACTATTACGTGTAGAACTGGTCAATAAGAAAGTTCTGCTGTATAGTACAGAGAACTTCATCCATTCTCCCGAGATAAATCATAATGGAAAAGAATATTTTATATATATACATATGTATTTATGTTAAACTGAGTTACTTTGCTGTACAGCAGAGATTGGTTCAACATTGTAAATCAATTCTGCTTCAATTTTTAAAAAAGAAGAAACACTTCATGTATATAAAAGAACCCAGATAAAGTATGTTTGCATGTGTATGTGTGTATATGCTCTCTAAACTTAGAATCCTCTAAGGACAAAAAAAACATGACTTTGAACAAGTATATACCTTAAATGAAAATAAAGGACCAAAATATATTCTAAAGAATAAGAAGAAAAAGCTTTGCATTTATAACTACTATAATGGAGTGAGTCCCCGGTAGAAAAAGTAGAAGCTTTCATAGGAAAAAATATCATTTCTTAAACATGGAAACACTGTCACACTAACTAAAACACAGTCTTTGAACATAATAGGAATTATCCCACTTTGTTTAATGAAAGGACAAAATTTGACTCTATTTTAGTGAGCTCGGAATGTCAGCTACTTTCAAGCACACAAGCTCTATTTCCTTAGTTATTTATGTAATTTATGAATAAATACTAGAATTAGAGTTTATTTGCAAGATAAATTGCAAAATTTGGAATGGAAAAAAAATTCCATTTACATTGTAGCAAGACCCATAATAAATTCAGAGCTGTACCTAACAAAATGTATGTCTTTTAAGGAAATATTATGAGCTTTTATTGAATTCCATAAGCAATGAACAAAATTTAAATAATAGAAGACATATACCATTTAAATTGGAAGATTCGGTATGGTACATAAATCAATTCTCCACAAATTAACTTGCAGTTCAGTGCAATTCCAATCAAACTCTCCAACAGTTTTTTTTTCCCTAGAAATTGGCAAACTTGCCCTAAAATCTGTGTGGAAAGAGGGTAAAGATTAGTCAACAATCTCTACAGAAGAAAAACAATATGAGAGTAGCTCTATAAGATGTTAAGAATTGTTATTCACCCATATTAACAAAAATGTGATATTAGTACAAGGACAGAGAAATGTACCAATAGAACAAAATTGAAATTCCAGAAACAAACTCATACATATATGAGAACTTGGTTTATGACAGAGGAGACATTACAAATCAATAGAATAGTCCTGGGAAAATTGGCTATGTAGATGGTAAAAAAATATTCCTACCCTATACTATACAGAAATGGAAACTCAAGTTTGATTAAAGATATAAATGTTAAAAGCAAGAATTATTTGATCCTGAAAAAGATGAACAATACCTTAATGATCTCAAAGTAGGGAAAGGTTTCTTAAAAACACAAAATGAAAACTATACAAGATAGATACATTTGCCTTCATTAAAAGTAAAGACTAGTTGATGAAGTATATACCACAAAGAAAATTTAAAATAATGCACCACAGGTTGGTGGGAGCTATTTTTAGTTCTTATAAATAAGGAAGGATTAACATCTAGAAGGAGACGGGACATTAATATCTAGAGGAGAAGGGACGCCAGATGATGAGATGGTTGGATGGCATCACCGACTTGATGGACATCGGACACGACTGAGCAACTGGACGGAATATCTAGAAGCTGTACTCTAAATCATTATGAGAAAGACAGATATTCATTAGAAAAACGTACAAAGGATATGACCAGTCATTTTACAGAGGGATAACATGATTCAATTATGGTGGTGGTGGTGGTTTAGTTGCTCAGTCGTGTCTGACTTTTGCGACCCGGAGGACTGTAGCACCCTGGATCCCCTGTCTATGATTTCCGAACTGCAGTGGCCCTCATCTCGCGGCCCAGCAATCTGGGCCTGCACGAGGAGGCTGGCAGATCACATTACACATGCCCACACCTTACATCCTGGTACTCTACGTTGCCAGCGCCGCAGCTTCCACTTCCAGGCGTCGCAGCCACCATCTTGCTTCGGTGGAAACTGCAGGAGTTCACAGCAGGAGTTCAGAAGCGAAAGTTCTGAGCTGTGAGTCTCTGTGAGTGCAGCCGAAGTCATGCCGTCTTTGCCACTGCGCATCGCAGTGGTATGCTCCAGCAACCAGAACCGGAGCATGGAGGCGCACAACGTCCTCAGCAAAAGAGGATTCAGCGTCCGGTCCTTCGGAACAGGAGAAAAGGTAAAGCCTCTAGGACCAACACGTGACAGGCCAAACGTCTATGATTTCAGAACCACGTATGAGGAGATGTACAAAGACCTCCTTAGGAAAGACAAAGAATACTATACGGAGAATGGCATTTTACCGATGCTGGAAAGAAATAAGAATATCAAGCCCAGGCCGGAGAGGTTCCAGGAGTGCACAGACCTGTTTGACCTCATCCTCACCTGTGAAGAGCGAGTGTATGATCAGGTGGTGGAAGATCTGAATTCCAGGGAGCAGGAGACCTGCCAGCCCGTGCATGTGGTCAACGTGGACATCCTGGACACCCACAAGGAGGCCACCCTGGGAGCGTTCCTCATCTGCGACCTGTGCCAGTCCATCCAGTGCATGGAGGACATGGAGAACGGGATCGACACGCTGCTGCAGGAGTTCGAGGGAAAGTACGGCAAGAGCTTCCTGCACACCGGCTGCTTCTACTGAGCCCAGCCTGACGTCCATCCCACCGCCCGCTTGAAGCCATTTTCTTGACTTTCCTTTTGGTAGTACTTTTTGCTTCTTGATACTTGTTTTGACCTTTAGTTTTTCTGCCAGTGGACATTAGCAATATCCAGTAAACAGTACTGTATGCAGTGAGAAGATACGGAAATACCAGATCACAAACAAACGTTTTTCCCGTCCCACTTTCCCTTATGAGTAGAATCTTGACTGTAGTTTGTTTTTGTTTTTGTTTTTTTCGTTAACCGAAAAAGAGAAAACGGTTGCTAGACATTTCTCCCAAGACATCTGCCTCTCACCGAGTGTCCCTTTTCTGGCTTCCCTAATTGCTTAGAATGTAAGAATTCCTGAATAAAGCAACAGGATCAACTTTTGAAACGAATTTTGCCATAGATGTGAATGGTCATTAGTAATAATATCAACAAAAGGTATATTGGAGTGGGTTGTCATTTTCTTCTCCAGGGGATCTTCTTGACCCAGGTGTCGAACCTGGATCTCCTACATTGCAGGTGGATTCCTTACCGGCTGAGCCGCAAATGAGAAAAGGTTCTCAACCTCTCAGCTAATGAGGAAAAGATAAGTTAAACCCTCAAGAGTGTTCTCCAACACCACAATTCAAAAGCATAAATTCTTTGGTGCTCAGCTTTCTTTATAATCCAACTGCTCACATCCATACATGACTACTGGAAAGACCATAGCTTTGACTAGATGGTTCTTTGTTGGCAAAGTAACGTCTCTACTTTTTAATATTCTGTCTAGGTTGGTCATCACTTTGCTTCCAAGGAGCAAGCATCTTTTAATTTCGTGGTTGCAGTCACCATCTGCAGTGGTTTTGGAGCCCAAAAAATTAAAGTCAGCCATTGTTTCCACTGTTTCTCCATCTATTTACCACGAAGTGATGGGACCAGATGCCATGATCTTAGTTGTCTGAATGTTGAGTTTTAAGCCAACTTTTTCACTCTCCTCTTTCACTTTCATCAAGAGGCTTTTTAGTTCTTCTTTGCTTTCTGCCATAATGGTGGTGTCATCTGCATATCTGAGGTTATTGATATTTCTGCCTGCAATCTTGATTCCAGCTTGTGCTTCTTCCAGCCCAGTATTTCTCATGATGTACTCTGCATATAGGTTAAATAAGCACAGTGACAATATACAGTCTTTATGTACTCCTTTCCCTATTTGGAACCAGTCTGTTGTTCCATGTCCAGTTCTAACTGTTGCTTCCTGACCTGCATACAGGTTTCTCAAGAGGCAGGTCAGGTGGTCTAGTATTTCCATCTCTTTCAGAATTTTCGACAGTCTGTTGTGATCCACACAGTCAAAGGCTTTGGCATAGTCAATAAAGCAGAAATAGATGTTTTTCTGGAACTCTCTTACCTTTTTGATGATCCAGTGGATGTTGGCAATTTGATCTCTGGTTCCTCTCCCTTTTCTAAAACTACCTTGAGCATCTGAAATTTCACGGTTCATGTACTGTTGAAGCCTCCCCTGGAGAATTTTGATCATTAGTTTACTAGCATGTGAGATGAGTGCAATTGTGCGGTCGTTCAAGCATTCTTTGGCCTTGCCTTTCTTAGGGATTGGAATAACTGACCTTTTCCAGTCCCGTGGCCACTGCTGAATTTTCCAAATTTGCTGGCATATTGAGTGCAGCACATTCACAGCATCATCTTTTAGGATTTGAAATAAGCTCAACTGGAATTCCATCACCTCCACTAGCTTTGTTGGTAGTGATGCTTCCTAAGGCCCACTTGACTTTGCATTCCAGGATATCTGGCTCTAGGTTGGTGATCACACCATTGTGATTATCTGGGTCATGAAGATTTTTTGTACAGTTTTTCTGTGTATTCTTGCCACCTCTTCTTAGTATCTTCTGCTTCTTTTGGGTCCATACCACTTCTGTCCTTTATTGTGCCATATTGTGAGGTTATATGGTAACTCTGACTAACTTTTGGAGGAACTGCCTTGTGTATAGCCTTTTAATTTTTGTTGTTGTTAGTAATCATGTGTGTTCAATGACATTAACTTCTTTTTTTTCTTTTATGAATCTCAGAATAGTTTATTTCCTTCCTATTTGTAACCTTTTCTTTTTAAAAATTATTTATTCAGCTTTATTGAGATATAATTGACGTAGAGCACTATATGAGTTTAAAGTGTGCAGCATATGATTTAACTTACAGATTTTTAAATATATGGTGTTAGAAGAAAATAAAAAATAGAACCTCTTCACAGCTACAGAGATACATTCTAGATGTACTAAAGGTGAAATGTAAAGAGAAAAGTACTGAAGTATTAAAAAGCAGTGTAAGAAAATATGTATATGACTTTCGGGTGATGCTCCTTCTCTTTAAAGACAAAACAACTCTCCAGACTTTATTAAATAAAAGTGATCACTTGGGAGAAAATATTTGCATATTTCTGGCAGGAAACTTTGATATTGTTAATACACAAAATATGCCCATATTCATAACAAAAAGAAACTACCTAATGGATACATAAACAGAGGATTTGAATCTGTAATTTAAAGGAGAAAGTACAGATTTGTTGAAGCATTTATTTGGAATATTAAAAAACTGAAAGGAATCTGAGTGAACATCCATAGGGAAAATGCAAAACTCAACAGGTTCTCAATTTTGCTAATCATCAGGTAATACCACATTAAAACTTGATGTCATTTTATTTGACACTAGTCCAAATAAAACAGATCAATAACTGACATTTTCCAAGTATGTGGGGGAAAAGTACTCCCCTGCTGTCCTGCTGGGGGTGCAACTGACTGTAACTTATTGAGAGAAGAAGGTGGCAGTATTTATTAGCATATAAATGTGGATACTCTTTGATCCAGCAATCCCATTTCTAGATTTTATCTGATAGGTGAAAGGTCTTTCCTTAAATATATATTTACAGGAAAATTTGTAGAAACATTTACATGTCCTTCTACAGGTGCATAGTTGAATAAATTGTGATACTTCTCTCCTTTGGAGTAATATGCTTCTGGAAAAACAATTCTATAGACCTGTCTTGCTATCTATAAACTTGAAAGACTGTCACTGTATATAATTAAATAAAACAAGCTAATTTTACAGTTGCATATATAGTATGATCCCATTTGTTTAAAAAGCAAGCCTAAAAAAAAAGGAACCCTAAATATGGGCATGTATAATTTTGTTTTTTTTTTTTTTTGAGGGTATCCAGTATCCTATTTATTCAGTGTACTGTCTCTGTGACATGTAATCTGTTTCATGTAAACTGATTTATACATTTTTAGCACTTTTCATTTATTTATTTTTTTTATTAGTTGCAGGCGAATTACTTTACAATATTGTAGTGGTTTTTGTCATACATTGACAAGAATCAGCCATGGTTTTACATGTATTCCCCATCCCGATCCCCCCTCCCACCTCCCTCTCTGCCCGATCCGTCTGGGTCTTAATTTTGTTTGTTTATATGGAAAAATAAACAGAAAACTATTGATGGTGGTCACATCAGGGTCTGGTATTAGGTGAGTCAGGGGAATGTTGTTAATGCTGACTTACTTACTTTTGTATTATCAGAGAAGTCACAGTGAGCCAAAGAGATGAATTATTTCATTAAAGCTAAAAATCCTTGAAATGTAAATAATGCCCATTCAAGGACATTGAAATGCAATTCCATTAAAGAGAATGTAAACTAATCCGCACAAAGCATATAGTGTGTAAAGATCTGTGAATACATTTTCTAATTCAAACCTCTAACTGATCTTAGATTAGAGGATGCTGTATCTCCATGTTACAGGTGAGAAAACTGAAATTCCTTGAGTTTGACTAAGTTGCTTGCTGTCATGCAGCCCATCAGTGGCAGAACTGACATTTGAAACTGAGTTCTGATGGGCTCAAAAATTAGTGTTAAATCCTGCACTATGTAGAACCTGGGAAGATGTGTTAAAAGTGATGAGTTCTTGGATCATTAAGAAAATAGACCCAGACATTGTTAGCATAACGATGATGTATGTGCATTATAGTTCAAAGAGGAATTTGAGTATCCAGGGAATCCAGTCTCTTGATTCCATCTCGAACACACACGCCTTTCAGATCTCATGAAGTGGATACATGAGCAACTTGAATGACTGAAGAGAATGCTTATTGAGAGCTTTATGTTCACATTGGCCTGGTATCTTGTGGCAAAGGAGTTTCCTTCCTTGCTGTATTCTCTGAACAGATGTTCAGCCTTTCTTTGTAGACCTGGAAGGATGAGCCGTAGTGGAGGGGGTGCTTCTAGCCCCGTCTCTATCTTTAATCCTCTGCTGTTCAATCTTGAATTGGATGAGGTCATAGGAACCACACTTGTCAGGTTTTTCAATTCTGTTGATGGAGGCAAGGGATGCCAGTAAATAACTTAGCATTATTTCCAAGTTAAGAATTAGTTGAGAAATAAAATTCAAAAGGCAGACAGGTGGAGGCAGAATGCTAGCAATATTACCCATAAAGCTGATGGGAGAAACTGGCTTTAGATCTATTACTGAGAAGTGTTTGATAGCAGTTGTACCTCAACCTGACTCCCTTAGAGTCCTCATGTCGAGACACTGGGACAGCAAACCTGAAGGAAAAGTTAGGCCTACATTTACCCAGGATGCTGATTCTGAGCAGAAAGGTACAGAAAAGACTGAACCTCTAGTACTTATGCACTTTGAAAGAATTTTGGCAAAATATACATGACATAAAATTTATCTTTTAAAACATTTTAAAGTGTACAATTCACAGTGTCGTGCAGCTATCCATCTCTGTCAGTTCCAAAATATTTTTATCACCTCAAAAGGAAACCTCATACCCATTAAGCCAGTACCCCCTCATTCCTTCCTTCCAACACCTGGCGTCCACTAATCTATTTTCTTTCTATGAATTTGCCTGTTTTGGCAATTTGAGGAATCATATGATATGGTGCTCTCTGTCTGGCTTCTTTGACTTAGCATGATGTTTTCAAGGATTCACTTGTGTTGTAACATGTATTTC